GTTTGATTGCACTTTTTAAATTTTTATCGGACATGTCTTAAGTCTTTATTGAACGAATTGTCCGGTACAAAAAAGTTTGTTATTTCGAGCTCTGACTTATATTATTTTAGTATCACCCTACTTCTTCAAAAATTATTATATTATCATACTAAATGTAATACAATAAACTGTTTGAAAAGGTTGCACTTACCTTCAAAGAGGTAAGGAAGAGGATCATCAGGATCCAAATTACTTATTATTGTAACAGTAAAACATTTACTTAGTTACAATTTCTGTTAAATACTAAAAATAGTATTCTATTAATGCTATTATTTATTTCAAGTTTATTATATAGTTCATAGATATTATATGGTTTTATAATAAGATTTTATATCATAATTCAAGATCAATATAAATTTTTTTATTGACTAACTGCCTTTGAGTTTAGTGATTGAAACAGAAATTTAAAGACCAGAGCATTTCCAGATATTGCAATTCGCGATCACTTAATTTGATATATATATATATATATGTATATATATATATATATATATATATATATATATATATATATATATATATATATATATATATATGTATGTATATATATATATATGTATATATATATATATATATATATATATATATATATATATATATATATATATATATATATATATATATATATATATGTATATATATATATATATATATGTATATATATATGTATATGTATATATATATATATATATATATATATATATATATATATATATATATATATATATATATATATATATATATATATATATATATATATATATATATATATATATTAGGGTGATGCAAAAAACAACTTTTTTAAAAACAGTCTCCTGCTCTTAACTAAATGTGTTATATATAATACAAAAACACTAAGTTCAAATTTTTTTTGAATAAAAAATATTTTTAGGGGTGCCTCAAGACTCTTTAATATTTGACAGGTCCCTAATGTTTTGAAAAAAAAAGTTTTATTAAAGTATGTCAACCTAAAAGAAGCGAAATTAAATAAAAACTTCAAAAATAATGATCAATTTACATAAAAATATTTTTTTCAGATATAATTGCCTAAAAACTATTGTTTTTAAGGTGATAATAAAAAAAGTCAATATTTTCAAGTTTTTTTTAATTAATTTATTGAAACATGTTTTTTATGTAAATTGATTATTACTTTTTAAGTTTTTATATAATTTTGCTTCTTTTGAGTACCAGGTTGACATACTTTAGAAAATTATTTTTTTCAAAGTATTAGGGACCTATTTAAGGGTCTTGTGGCACCCCTAAAAATATTTTTTATTCAAAAAAACTTTGAACCTAGTGTTTTTGTATTATATAGAACATATTTAGTTAAGAGCAGAAGACTATTTATAAAAAAGTTGTTTTTTGCATCACCCTAATATATATATATATATATATATATATATATATATATATATATATATATATATATATATATATATATATATATATATATATATATATATATTTATATATATATATATATATATATATATATATATATATATATATATATATATATATATATATATATATGTATATATATATATATATATATATATATATATATATATATATATATATATATATATTTATATATATATATATATATATATATATATATATATATATATATATATATATATGTATATATATATATATATTTATATATATATATATATATGTATATATATATATGTATATATATATATATATATATAAATATATATATATATATATATGTATATATATATATATATATATATATATATATATATATATATATATATATATATATATATATACATACGTGTATATATATACAGGGCCTATTCTAGGAAAAAAGTTTGGGCGGCGGTACCCCCTCTTTTTTAGAAAAACTTCAGCGGAAAATCTGCGTTTTTTTTTTTTGTGCAAAAAAAACAATATTTGCAGTTAGAAATGTAAAAAAATTAAGTCCTCAAATTTTAATATAGGCGGCGTTCAAATATGGTAGAGTCCTCAAAAAAGCGCAGCAAGATTAACTGGACTATTGAGAGACAGTTAAAAAAAGAAAACATCTTTTAACACAAAAAAACTTAAAGCAAAAAAATACGATTAGAGTAAATATTTTTGAAACGTCGTTCTTTTATATTTTTTTAATAAAATTAGGCGACATTTTTTATATAAAGTAACAACTTACTATTAATGATTGTTTAATAAGGAAACAAATGTTCTTTAATTTATCAACGAGTATATAATTTTTATTTATATACTTATGTCTTATTTCCAGTTCTGGATTGAAGAGGTGGGGGAGAGGGGAATAGGGTAGAAGGGCTATAGCCCCGGGACTTACAATGTAAGAGGCCGCAAAATAGTCGAAAAGACCATTCGGTATTTTTTTTAGTCATTTTTACACTGTGGAACATAATAAATGCCACTAAAATAATGTAGCCCGCGGCCCTGAAAAGTCCAACAAGATTCAACCAGTAAAACTAACGCTAGATGATTTATTTATAAATAAAAAGGTTTTTTTAATAACTGTTTTATGCTTCGCGTAGTTTGAAAAGTTTAACACATTTGAAACTATTCTTTTTAGTAAGATGAACAAATGAAATAATTAAACATTGAGTTACTGTAGAAATTCAATTAACTAGATAGAAATTAACTAAAAACGTTAAATTACTTAGTGAAGAGGAAGCGGAACAGCTTCACATAACTGCTGATAATGTTTAGTGAGTGGGCTTTATAATTTTAATTAGTATTTAAAACAGAAAAGAGTTGAGTATAATGAGTTTGTAAGAATGGCTGAAGCAAAAATAATTGAAGTTGTTAACCAATTTCTAAGAACTTAAAAACTTTTCTTTCTAAAAACTTAAAAACATAAATTTAAAACATTTATTTTTGCAAATAATTAATGTTAGTTTAAAACATTTATAGCTTTGTAGATGTGGCATAAAATGAGAATGTCATAGTATTAAAATAAAAGTTCCTTTGATAGTATATCATCCAGATTGTTAAAACAATTTATGCTAGAAATCTCGGCGAAAACATAACAAAACTCAAATTATACAACTTTTTCAAATAATTCAACAGAATACTCTAGAACATTCGGTTAGTATTTTTTGAATACTCTAGAAATTTCCACTAGTATTTTTTGAACCAATAGAATTAGTTGTTAGTAGATTTGTTGGGTTTTTTGTGTTCGCAAATATTCTTTTTTTTATTTTTCTGCACAAAGTTTGAGAACATTTGAGTTTATGTATGTTTCCGTGTAAGTCTGTAATACAAAATATTCTAAGATTTACGATAACTTAATGATTATTTTGCGGACAAACAAGGAAACATATGTGAACTTGAATGTTCTCAAAATGACTAAAAAATCTGTCTGGTTTTTCGCAACTAAATATTATTTCTGTGGTCAGTTATCGAGTGCGATCGCACCCGCTTCCTGACCAAGCCTGTGTATATATATATACATATGTATATATATAGATATGTATACATATGTATATATATATGCATATGTATATACATACATACATACATTCATACATACATACATACATACATACATACATACATACATACATACATACATACATACATACATACATACATACATACATACATACATACATACGTACATACATACATACATACACACACACATACATACATACATACTATACAAACTATTCCCTTATACAATTCTCCAGACTCATTTAATACCAATTATCTCTCCTACGCAATACTTGTCATATTTTTGCAAGTACATTTCATCAAAAATCAAGCAAATGTCTTGAGATATCTTACCTTCTAATTTTAAATGTTTTCACAACTTACAGCATCAATATTACCGTTACTTTTTTATATAACAAGATTGATGGTAAAGCCAATTCTTCACACTAAAGATACTAACTTTTGCATAAAAGTATATCATAATATGAGTGAATAGTTTATAATATTGGCTTAATAAAAATAGGTTTTTCAATATATTTAATTTTCTGTAATTCAGTCAAAAAAGATGAAAATTGTGACTTAATGTAGGTAGGAAATTGTAAAGCATACTTTTGCGAGATGAAAGAAAATCTCTTCTTTGACAAAACCACCGAGACAATGGCAGAAGTGAACCTTTTTTAAAAAATTTAGCATGCATGTCATTGTTTACATAAATGCACTCTGTAACTTCTGGAATAGATAAAGTACTATGACTCAATTTAATTATTCAATAAAAAACATGATCATCATTTTTCTAGAATGAAAAACCATCAAGAGCAAGACTTTCAATAATATTGTCAAAGTTATTCATCAAATCATTCAATAAAAACTGTCCATAATGATCTAGCTGAAATATGCTTTTAGTTGGTGATTTTCTTAATGAATTAGAAAATTTTATAAGTTGTGATGAACCTTCTTATTTTGATTTGTTGTTTTTTATACTTTGTAAGAAATTCGTTGAATAAGACATCTTTCCTTATACATCTTATACAAAAATAGATAAATAATAAGAAAAATAAAATTACAATAAATTAATGGAAATAACTAAGAGATTGCGTCCACAATATTTTTTCTTTTTTCACTTTCTATTTAAAGTATTTAAACCACATTTGTTTTTGTAGCAAGAGAAAATCCCCCTGAAATAATCACCTGAAAAAATTTTAAATTACAATAAATTAAAATATAAATATATTAGTTGTTTATGATATAACGATTTTACATATACTTATTCTGCAAGCAAAAATCTTAATCCTTCATTTTTGATATAACGACTGATAGGCCACTCTTGAGTCTAATTATATTCTATTCTAATTACATTCTACTCTAATTACATTCTATTCTAATACTGATTAAAGTTATTTGAGCTTTAAATCAAAATGTTATGTTGTATTTGGTTTATTTACAATCATATGAGTTTGTATATCCATTATGTGAACAATCTTATAAGTTGTTTATATTAATGATCTTTTGTTGTTTATATTAAGGATCTTGCAGCACGCAACATATTGGTTAATGAAGATTATTGTTGTAAGGTAGCAGATTTTGGAATGAGTCGTAAAATCAATATTGATGATACCTATGAAACAAAGGTTTTCAACATTTTTATTTTTATAATGTTTTATTTTAAAATTGCTTCATTTTATTAAGACATCAAGTCAATAGTTATTATAAAAAAGAAGAAAAGTATACAAGATAAATATATGCAGTTCTTGGAGAACAGAGCAATAATAAATTATTAAAAACACTGATTTTTTACTAACACATGCTTTTTTTTTCAACTCTTCAGGTTTCTAAAAGATTCATCAAGAAGGATTTTAGATGGTTTTTTCAATATAAAATAATTTCATTTATTATTATTAGTCAATTTTGGAAATTAATTAACATTAATTTCCAAAACTTCTTCTCAGCACAAAATGTGAAAATGCTTTTAAAAATAAGACTATTTTTTTAATTTTTATTTATTATTTAAGTTAAAGATATGTTTCAACTATATATAGTCATTATTAGTTATAATATATTTGTTAAGAACAGTATAAAATATAGTAACTAATTGTAAAAATAAACATAATAAAAGCTATAAAATTGATTACAACCTTCGTATATAAACAAAAAGAATTACTAAAAATCATTTTAACAATTGTCAAATATAATTATAAAAACGGTAAATTATTTTAAATGGTCATTTTAACATGATTTACCTGTTTATTCATATTGGGTTTTTCCCATCCTATATGAATACTTAATTTAACTTTTTATTCAATTTTGTTATTAGCAAGTTGAAAAGTTGAAAAGCATTCATCACTATAATTATAAATAAGAGAGTTTGTATCTCTTCTGTTCTTCTGTTCTTGTCCAATCATTTGTAATCTCTTCTGTAATCTCTTCTGTTCTTGTCCAATCATTTGTGTCTTTAAGTGGAGAGTAGTTTTGCCAATATAACAGAATTTACTTTCTTTTCTTTTTCTTTTTTTTCTTTTTTTTTATGAAAAACTGTTGTAATTGTTGAACTGTTTGACTTACATATATAAAACTCAAAAATATATTTTTGAATTTTCGTCCTTTTTCATGGTAAAAGATATTGAAGAGTGTTTTTTTATATCTATATCTATATATATATATATATATATATATATATATATATATATATATATATATATATATATATATATATATATATATATATATATATATATATATATATATATATATATATATATATATATATTATATATATATATATATATATATATATAAATATATAAGTTAAATAAAAGTTAAAAAATTTTAAATAAACAGTAGTAAACAAAAATAGTATAATAGGCTTTTAGTCTGTCCATACCAAAATCGTTGAACAGAGGTACATTGGCTGACTTAAATTGAGATTGGCATTTCTATTTAAGTCAGCCAATGTAAATTTATATCACATAGTCACCTCTTAATATATTTAAAGTAGCGCAACTAATAATATAGAATTATTTATAAGTTATTAATAAAAAGTTAATTTTAAAGTTAATTTAAACAACATAAAAACCATGCTCTGAAGTTAAAAAAATTTTTTTAGACTTTGCTTTAACAACCCTGTTAAAGTACACGTATTATACTGACAATAAAGTTTTTGCTATTTCTTGTGCAGTTATTAAAATATGCATAATACAGTTTTGATATACAGTTTTGATAATACAGTATCATCTTGGAAGAATTATTAACTTGTGCAATTTTTACAAAAAGTAATAACAAAAAAAATATTTTTTTTCTGACAAAACGTTGAAAAAATGTAAATTTATTTTAAACAGCGACAAAAATATTGCCTGAAATACATTTTACCTGGGGAATATACTGATAATCTTTATCACAGAGAGTGTTTATTTACAGAAATCATGAAAAATTTTACTACCTCCGAGTCTCCAAATTTAAAAACTTATGAAACAATTGAAGAAAAAAAGAACAGAAAAAGAAATGTTAGATATAAATATATTACACAGCATTTTTAAGTGATTTTTAATTATATTGTTTCATTTGTCTTCTACTTCATAAAAAGTTCAATTTATGGTATTTGATTTAATATGATGATAATTATATGATTAATTATGAAGATAGTATGATTGGATCTATTTATGATGATAAATAAACTTGTAACATTGCTATTTTATAATGACATTTCGCTATCTACATATCGCAACTTTAAAGCTATCTGTATTACTACGATACATTGTTAGATACATATTGTATCATTGTTGCTAGCTACAACATAACAACAAATAATTTTACTTTTAAGTTTATTATAATATTTATTTTTACTATTTTTATTATGCTAGTATATTGCTTGTTTTTAGTTAGCAATTTTAAACCTATTCTGGTGTAATGGTTAGAGTTCTGGCTTCAAAACTGGTGGTTCATGGTTCAAAACCAGCTCTGACCAAATATGTATCATTGGTAAGGAAGGTGAACTTCCTGGTTCAATGCTATTCAGCAATGCTCTATGATTAGATCTTTAGGACTTCTTGGACCTAAATAACTGATAAAGTAGTAAAAACAATATTGTAGCTTGTTAAAACATAACTATAAATATACAGTCAGCAAAATTCAAGTTGGCATTTGGCAATGCTGATGCAAAAGCCGACATATCTTAGCTTTAGGACGGCATACAACTGCCGACCTGAATATTCTAAAGTGTCAGCATGCAAATTAAAATACATGTAAAAAATATCTAATATTCGTTAAATATTGTTTTATAATTTTTTTATTGTAATTACTTGCTTTTTAAGTTTGACATGTTTTATTAAAACAAATTTTCATTCATTTTTTTTCAATTCATTTTTCTTTTTTTCTCAAGTTTATTCAAGCATAGCGAAGTTAAAAAATATTACTTTTTAAATGCCTGTTGTTCTCACACTTTTTAGGCACAGTTACTAAGTTATTGAGATATAAAATCTAATTTTAATTTATTTTTTTACTTAAAACCATTTAACTAATTAAATAATTTACATGTTTACAGTTTGTTTATAATTATTTAAGATCAGAAAGTATATTAGGAAAGTTTAGCCTTGTTATAGTTATGTTAAAAACATGTGGAGAAGAAACATTAGTTACAAAACTTTTTTTTAATTTGATAAATGTTTAGGCTCTCATTAAATTGCAACAGTAATACAGTAAGCAAACTCAAAACAATGTTTATAGTAATACAGTAAAAATGCACGTAAACACCCTACTAAAATAATAAAAATTTAAAAAAGTTAAAAACCACAAGTAAAAAATGATAAAAGTTTGGGTGGTATAAATAAAAATCATTGATATTAAATAATGTGTAGTTATAGCTAGTTGCTAGCTTATGTAGCTAGCAACTAGCAATAACTCGTAGCCAAATTTTTATCGTTAAGCTGTCTTTATCATTACAAGTATCGCCAGCTGACTTTGTCATCTTTGCTGTTGCAATACACTAACTTTTTATTAATTCGTTAAGTATGTACATAATTTTATATTATTAGTTGTAGTATTTTAAATATATTGAAAGTGACATATCTTCAGAAAATAGACATCTGTTTACTATTGCTAGAAGCAGGTCACTAAATCTTTTATTCCACCTCTCTCAGAGACTTCTGGAGAATCTTTAACAGTTTTTTATATTAAGGACAAATCTGTTATTCCACCTCTCTTGAATGGTTTAAATTTTGTTATCATGCCTGAAGGCAAAGGTAAATCGTTTGCTAAGAACTTTTCATCTCTTGATTCCACTAGTCACATCCTACCTGATATAGCTGACAAACAGTTTGATCCATTGATTGACATTCTTATCACTTCAACTTCTAAAGTAATCTAAAGTGATTTCCTGCTTAGACTCTTCTACAGCTTGTGGTCCGAAAAACATACCTGTTATAGTCATGCAGAAGTGTTCTCTGGAGCTGTCGTCTATTCTTTTAAAACTTTTTAACAAGTGCTTGTCAGAGTCTTTTATTCTGCTGTCTGCTGGAAAGTGACATCTGTTATCTCTATTTTCAAAAGTTCTTGAGAACAATCTGACTTGTTTAACTACTGTCCCATTAGTCTTCTTCATATCATAAGCAAGGTTTTTGAATCTTTAATTAACAAACACTTAATCTCTAATCTTGAATCTAATAACTTCTACTGCTGGTTTATTAACCTTTATAACTGATAGATTTTGTTGTGCATTATAATGATGTGGAGAGGTTAAGGCTATTGCTCTGGCATTTCTAAAACCTTTGATAACATTTGGCATGCTGGTCTTCTCCATAAGCTATCTTCTTATTGTATATCAGGTAACATCTTTAAAACTATTGAATCCTTCTTTACCAATCGTAGTATAAAAGTTGTCCTCGTTGGACAGCACTCTTAATCTTATTCTGTAACCTCAGGGGTTCCTTAAGATGCAATCCTTGGCCCAATACTTTTTTTAATTTATATTAACAATTAGAAATTATTATTTCTAAGGTGGCATTATTTGTTGATGATACTACCATTTATTTTTGTTTTGATAAGAAGCCAACACTCTCTGATTGCTTGGAGGGGACATTTGAGCTTAACAATGATCTCACTTCTGCTACAGTATGAAGTGGCTCTCAGTGGCTGGTGAACTTTAACTCAGATAAAACTCAATTTTTTTTTCAGTTAATTGTTGTTGCAGCAATCTAGATCTTCCTATATTTATGAACAGTAATGTACTTGACGATTCATCTACTCTTCATCTTCTAGGATTAAATCTTACTTTTGATCTTTCTTGAAAACCATAGATCTAATCGATTGCAAAATGATTATTTGTGGATCATCGAATGATGTCCTTTCTCTTCTAGACAATTGCAGAAACTCATTGTAAACATAGTTTGACCTGCTATTACAGCCAAGCTTCAACCATTATCACATTGTCATAATGTTGCTTCTTTTTCTCTTTCTATAAATACTATAATGGTGCTGCTCTAAAAAGCTAACGTCTCTTGTGCCATCTAAAATTCATTCTCATTTTACTCATCATTTAATTAAGTCTCATCCTTTTATTATGACTGTTGCTAAGTGCTCCAAAAATTCTTATTCATCTACAGTGCTTTTATTCTAGTAAAAAATGTAGCGGAACTCTACCTTTTTATTCGTCAAAAATGAAGCAATAGACCTTTCCCACAAGTTATCAAATGCACAATTCATTGTGGTAGTTGTATTCATTTAAATCTAAACAATCCAAATAAAAATTTTAATTAAGTAGATATTACGACAGTAATGAGTTGTTCCCGAGCTGTTGTCCGACATCTAAAGCTATTTGTCAACTTTAACATGATGAACTTGTTGCTTTCAATAAAGAGAAATCTATAAACAACAGTATTTCAACTTGAACAAGAGACATTTATTTTAGCCAAATATATAACTCACAATTTTATCAAAGATTATCTTATTAAGGGGACTATATATATAAATAGTTATATATAGATAAGAAGAGCCAAAATATATATATATAAGATAATATATATAAATATATATATAGATAAGAAATATATATAGAGATAAAAAGAGTCGAAAAGCATCAAACTCTTGTCTATCGCCCATATAAAGAAAATTTTGTAAAAATGTAAAAGCATAAACTTGTTTATTACAAAGTGTAGTATTGCAGCGTCTGTGAAACGTAAACAACAAAGTTTTTACACACTTATGCCAGTAAAGTACTTTATGCTAAATGCAATTGAAAAACTGATGTAGGAGACTGTTGCAAGCATGTTGCTGCATCATTATACCAACTAGTTGACTATACAGAATTATACATTAAACTGGTTCCAGAAAGTAAAACATGTATAGACGTTTTACAGATATAGCATGTTTCAGGTGAATCAACTCTGAAGCAATTTTGTTTTCTAAAATATTGACGCTTACAAATATAATGCTCGAAAAGACCTTTAGTTTAAGGAATTCATAAATATTGTTTTGCAATATTTTATGCAGTTCTAAAAATGTTTGCTATTACAATTTTCTTTCTTGTTCAAAATTTTAAACATTTTTTGAAAGAGTCTTTTTTTTAGCTTCTATTATTTTAAATGCAGCTTAAAGTCCCCATTTTTTGTGCCCATATATTTTCTTATGTATCGAACTTAACTGTTACTCTCTATTTTTGCCATAGTAAAAAACTTTATAATCGGACAATTCTTTAGATATTTTTATTCCGATCTTAGCTTCTAAACCAAGTAATTTCACTTTTTAACAGGTTGTGTAGCCAAGCCTTGTTAAAAACAGAGCCACTTGTTTTTGGAAAAAAACTCTGTTTTATGCTTTAATGTCCAGCAACTTGGCCAGCTGTAGTTGGTGTCTGCAGAAGATACTGCCTGCAGAAGGTAAATCTGTCGTTGTAATTTTAATTTGATTTTTTAATGAACCAAGAAGATACTGGTCATCTTTTTTCATTATTAGTTTTGTGTTATTTTGTTTAATTGATATTTTTATATTACTGTCGCAAATAGCGTAAAGTTTGTGTTTTAAAAAATCAGACATTGCACAGAAACAATAGAATTTCTTAGAAACGCAAATGGTTGTGGAATTGATATTCGAACAAAAAATAATTTGGCATCATAAAAACAAAAGAAATAAACTAGAAAATTAGTTAAAATAAATTTTTCTCAAACAAATTTAGTTATTACAAGTAAAAATTAGATTCTGAAACGTAGCGCTGTATAGTTTTCATATATATATATATATGTTTATCTTGGTTGTAAAAATATATTTTACTTGATCTTTACAACCTGCATTTGCATTTTCAATATAAAGAATTTTTAATACATTTATTATATAATAATACGATGGGAAACAAAATGATTATATATATATAAAAAAGGTTCCGGAACGCTGTTTCGGTGCGTTCTAAGAGAAAAAAAGCACTGTTTTTTTCCTTGAGCATCAGTTCTTTGGAATTTGCTTACTTCATCATGATTTCCTGATTCATATAATTTGCAAACTTTTAAGTTGTCTGTTAATTGTTATTTTGCTTCTTAAAATTTTTTTTTTCCAGTAACTTCCAACTCTAATAGTGGTTGCTTGAAGCCTTTGTTGGAAGTGAAGGTGTTAAAAAAAAATACATCTGCAGCAAATGCAGCAAAGCATGAAATTACTTTTTTACTCACCAAGAAATTTTTATTACTTTCACATTGACAATTACTTTTTTTTTTATCCATTTATTCAACCAAAAATTGAAAAATTACAAGTTTATAGTTTTACAAAATAAGGTTAAGTGTCACTCATATAGTTAAAAACTAGTCAATGGAGTGACACCTAAATAGAATAAAAAAAATATATATAATAACAGCAATAATAATAAATAAAAGCATGTGTAAATTAAATTAATTTAAAAATGATAATAAGGATAATGCTATAATAAATTAAATAATAAAACAAAAAATATGAAAGCACTCAATTAATAACAACAGCAAACAAAAATAAATAAAAACAAACTTTATGAATACAAAAAGGCTAAACACCAAAACTACAAAATAAAAATGCAAACGCAAAAAACTTCTACAAAATTAAATTAAAAGTAATAACACTCTTTAGTTATTTCCGATGAAAAAAGAAAAGTGTAAAAAAATTAGTAAAACAGAAAAACAGGAAACAATAAAAATAATTTACAACGACAGCGCAAATAATTACAAACTTTACGCAAACAAAAAGGCAAAACACAAAAACTACAAAATGAAAGCAAAAACCACAAACCAAAAATGCAAAAAAAAATAATGATAATAATAATAATCTTTTGTTATTTTTGGCCAAAAAAAAGGTGTAAAAAAAAAAGTGTAAAAAAAAAAGTGTAAAAAAAGGTGAAAAGTACTACATTGTCAAAGTTTATATTTTTTTCAATTTTTGTAAACAAAGAGCATTTAAACAATCATTTAACAATGAGAAACAGAGATCTAACTTTTGCCATTTTTGAAAATGCTTTTTCTGAACTACAATTTGCAATGGGAATGGTTGAAAAATCTGATATGCAATGTCAGCATTTGAAAAAAGCTAATTTGTACTTAATCCTACAAATTGCACATAAACATCGTAGATGGTCATGGTCGGAAGGCCCTTTTTTCAAGCACATTTTGAACTTGTCTATGATAGGGGAAAAGTTTTTAATTCTAAATTTGTCAATGCCACTTGTAACCACTTTATTCTGCCTCTATTCTCACCAACTCATATCTTATGCATTCAAACTAAGCATAAAAATACATTCTTGTATATTTATGCTTGTGTTGCTTGTTTGGTGTTTGGGAACCTTACCACATATTCCTAAAAATTGGGTAGATCTTTTTATTTTCCTTAAAATTGTAATGGCTTAGTTTAGTGTCTGACATTTATCTAGAACAGTTTATTCATCTTTATCCAGAATAATTAATTCTAGGGTCTCAAGGATATGACTATAATTTTGAATGTAAATTTTTAATAGTAATGGCTCTTGGTGACCACCTTGTCTCACTCAGGCTTTTGATAGTAACTTTCCTATTCTTTCCTGCATCACTTACAAGATTATTACAAACAATTTGCTATCTGTGAGTTGTCAATGAAATGTTTTAAATATTTCCTCCTCCTTCAATTTAATTAACTAAAATAATTCTGAGAGCAGTACCTTAAATTTGTTTTTGTCACTTTTTGTTGTAGACAAAAACTTTATTTGTCACATTTTATTTGTCACAAAATGTTACAGACTAAAATTTGGTCTTTGAAAATTTTTGTCTGTGCATGCATTCACGTGTTTATTTAAAAACTTGGGGACCCCTACTGGGATCCCTGGGGCCAGGGGCAGCTGCACCCATACATTAATCTAACATTGCTGTTGTCTGTTACTCAGTCAAGTTTATTATTAGAAAGAATTTTATCAATTTTTAGTTTAATAAAAAGTTCACACAATTTTTTGATTGTTAAATTTATTTTTAAAATATTTCATTTTAGAATTAGATTATTCAAGCAAACATTTGTAACAATATTTGCTGTTTAAAAATTAATATATATTATCTAAGTATTTAGAAGTAACATGTGTTTTTGCCTTTTCACATATCTTATTTTTATCAACTTTTTTTAGCAAATAAAAGTTTATCTTGATATTTGCGCTAAATATTTATTTATTTTTTCAACATCTTCACTTCCAACAAGGAAGCAACCACTATTAGAGTTGGATGTTACTGGAAGAGAAAAGATTAAAGTTATAGAGCAAGACAACAAAAATTTGAATTTGCATAAATTCATGATAATGTATTTTTTTTTAGGGTGGCAAAATCCCTGTTCGGTGGACTGCACCTGAATGTGTTCAGTATAAAAAATTTACTAGTGCTTCTGATATGTGGTCGTATGGTGTGCTTTTATGGGAGATTGTATCTTATGGAGAAAGACCATACTGGGACTGGGGAAATTATTTGGTAAATTAAATTTTATGCATTCAAGTTTAAATTCTAAATTAATTTTTAAATCTTTTTATTATTTAGAGTTTTCAAGACTTTTGTATTCTTTATATATTACAGTTTTTTATTAATTTTAGGTACTTGAACGAATTAATTCTGGATATAGGTTACCTCCTCCCATGGTATGTAAAGGTAAAATGGTTGTTTCAATGGTGTTAGGATCTCAATTTTTAGACACCCATGAAATAACAAATTAACTATGTTGATAAAATGTTTACACTTCTTAAAATTACGAAATCAATAGTTTTTATTAATAAAGAAAGATTTTTTGTGTTTATTAATTCATAAATGTTTATCAATCTAAATAGTATAGTTTCGAGAAAATTTGTGAAAATATAATAAAATCAAATTAAAAAAATGTATATTAAAAGTAAAATAAGTAAAAATAAAAATACTAGATTATTTCAGATTATCTTAAATCACAAATTTTCTTACAAAAATTACAAAAGTTCCAACTTCTTATTATCCTATTCAAAAAATTGTTGCATTATTATTGTCTAAACATATTAAATAGGTTTTCATCTAAAAGTTTATAAGTTCACCTTTTTTTTTTTTCTTTAAAATCATTTTATAAAAAAAAAATTTTTTTTTTCATTTTTATAGCTTGTAAATAAAAAATTTATTGAATTTTAAATAAATTTATAAAAGTAACTTTAAAAAGTACAGTTTCAATAATTTAAAAATTACATCAATTGAATTTATTTTAAACATCTTTTCAGTTGGCTAAAATTTAGTTAACAATTTTTCAAAAATTTGAAAATGTGGAGGTGTAAAGAACTCTACATCAGTGGCATTTTTTTCTTTGCCCAAGTATTATAAATAAGTCATAGACAATGATGGTGTAAATATTGTTGATGATTAGTTGTGGAATTAAAAATATATAATACATTTAAATATACAATAAACACATTTTTTTTTTAAAAAAAACAAAAACTTTTTACTATTTATTCAACTCCTTAGTAAAAAAAATTGGTGATGTTCTATCCATTTTTAATGTTAAATATTAAATCATACTTTTATTGTTGTGAATTTACAAATGAGAAAAAATATATATAACTCCCAATATAATTGTAAGTATAGTTAGACAAATAATTTAATTATAGGTATAGTTAGACAAATAATTTAACATTTAGTTAGACAAAGGTTTTTAACTTTTCATGGTAATCATCATAGAAAGGTCATCTTGTTGAAAATTTTTTTGTCAACTCCACAATAATATATTTAAATAAAAGAAACAGCATTATGAAAGCTTGTCTAAACCACAAAAGTGTGGAGTCGTAAGTGTTAATTTAAAAAAATATATATGTGCATATTTACTTTATCCAGCTATTTTATTTAATTTTCAAAGAACAAATTTCCTTCAACCGGATGCTTTTTTTCAGCAGCAGATTTTCAAATTTCAGCAGCAGAAGCTCTTCATGGGTTACCATGGAGAGCTGCTGAAATTAGAAAATCTGCTTGTTCAACAATAAACCTTTTGAGATATTAAAATTTTTGTTTAGTTTTTTCTCATATGCCTAATGTTTTTAATAATACTATTTTGTTTTTTCAAATATTTTCTAACTGCTTTACTTAAAAAATAGTCTGTGACAAAAACATACTTATAAAACAAGTAATTTAACAAATAAGAAAAAGTAAAAAAGTGATAAAACAAATAACATATTATAAATACATTATTTTTATTAGTTATTTTTATAAATTTTTACTGGTTCCGAGAATGTAACTACCCTCTGCAACCATTATATGGTTCCGAGAATGTACCAAAATAAATTAAATATTGTATATATATTCTAATTAAGATTCTTTACAGAAATCTACAAAACTTTAACAAAGTAAAACGAAAATAAAATTATCCAAAGAAAAATTGCTATAGCACGTTCTGGAATCAGCAAACATGTTAAACCAATAAGATTTATTGGCTCACTGACACAGCGTGTTTCCAGAAATTCAGGAACTTTCTTTAAAATTTCTCCGTGCCATTCCTCCTCGTCTAAGCAATAAAAATAAGCGATAAAAATATATATATCGATAAGCCTACAGCACATCGATCCTTGATTTTTATCGCTTATTGATGGCTTCCTAATTTTATTACTAGTTTTGCATTCCAATAAACACACACGAGATATAGGTCGCTTAACTTCACTGTTTCCCACTTTCACTTTTACAACTCTAGTATGACCATCAGCACCAGGATACATCTCTAAAACTCTTCCTAAGGGCCATTTCCCCCGCAGTGTATCCAGTGATATAACTAAAACAACATTTCCTATCTGAATATCACTTTTTTCAAGAAACCATTTTTTCCTAGAGTTTAAGGTGGGAAGCCATTCTCGTAACCATCTCTTCCAAAAGTGACGGATAAGTTTTTGGATTTTGCACCAACGTTTTTTAATGCTAAAATCCTTAGTATTAACATTTTCTGGTGCAAATTCGTTACCTACTCGACCATGTAAGAAATGATTTAGTGTTAACAGGACATCATCATCAGGATTGCAAGACTGGTATGTTAAAGGTCTTGAGTTGATCAATGATTCTGCACCTGTAAGTGCTGTCATCAGTTCTTCATCATTAATATCAGCATTACCCAGAATACTGTATATAGCTTTCTTTGCTGACTTGATCATTGTTTCATGGGCTCCCTCAAAATGTGGTTCGATTGGAGGGTTAAAATATCATTTAACTCCTTTATTGGCTGTTGATTGTTTTATTTTTTCTATATTTAAACTAGCTACAAGCTCTTAAAGTTCTCTATTGGCTCCAACAAAGTTAGTACCATTATCCGAAATCATTTCCTTAGTATTTCTTCTCTTGCTTGTAATATCCAATACCGACTAGATAGAATTGCCAAGGTCTGATTATTTCCACATGTTTTCCCTTTTCGTGATACTTCTTCACTATAAGTTTCGTTATCCAGCTTTTTCTGGGGAGAATAATAGGGAATCTGGCATCGTAGAGCAAATATTCTGCATATTTTAAACGCTCATCACATCGTAATACACTATCCTCATCTATTTTTGGTCTTAAACATCGTAATACACTAGTCGTTGGTAACAGTTTTTTGGCTGATAGCGCTTTGTACTCTTCTTCGGAATTCTCTTTTTGAGCAAATTTAACTGTATTTAACTGTTTGTTTAACTCAATACCAGTTTTTTCATCAGTAACAGAGTTGATACTATCATCCATGTATGTCGATTTAAAAATTGTTTCTGCCGCTAAAGATTACTTTTTAATGTGTTTTCTTTGCATTTTCTTGTGATACAAACTGTGCTAAAAAAGGCGATGAATTGATACCGAACACTACTCTTTGAAGTTCAAAAAAGGGTCCCTGCTTTGATTTAGATCTCTCCATAAAAATCTTTGAAACTTTCTATCTTCCGGTGAAACAGATATTTGTAGATACATTTCTGCTATATCGCAAATCACTGCCACCGGATATCGTCGAAATCGTAGTAACACTCAAAACAAGTCTTGTTGAAGCTTTGGACCTTGATGAATTTTATAGTTAAGAGATAATCCGTTATGCTTTGCTGATTCATCAAATACTGGTCGTGTTTTTGTAGTCTGATGGTTTATCCAAATAGCAGGGAAATGAGGTAAATACCAACTATCACTATTAACTTCTAATTTTTCTAGCTTTCGAATATATTCTTTTTCCTGATATTGTTTTATAATGTTTGAATAGCTTATACTTATGTCTCTATTTTTCATAAGTTTCTTTTCTGTGTGTATTAGACGATTGAGTGCTGTTTTATAATTATTTGTTAACTTTAACACTCCTCTCCAGGAAATGCTAACTTGATATCTCCCTTTGGACATGTTTGATAGATTTTTGAACAGTAACTATTGCTGCTTTCTCATCAACACTCATAGAATACTCTTGCTTACTCGGAATCTCTTCAATATGCAAAAATTGCTAAAGTATATCATCTGCTGCTGTGTTGTATTGTTCTTCCTTAGTAAAAAATGTATGAACAAAGCTTGTATAATAATTTTGATTTAAATTAACAGGGCTGCCTACGCAAGTCCATCCTAGTGGAGTAAGACGAGCAACAGGTTCTTCTGAATGTCTACGTTCATCTTTAACTGAGTAGTGAAGGTCAGCATAGTCTATACCCATTAAAATCGAAATACCTGGTTTTGAACCCACGCTCGGAAAATTGATATTTTTCAAATGTTTCCACTTTGTTGCATGTTTCTTCCAGTCAACTGGTTATTTTACTTACCAGTTACTTTGTTTGCTGTATATGCTGCAATTTTCATATTCACTTTACCATCCAAACTTTCTAGTTCAAATTCATAAGGCATTGTCTGAAATGTATCAGTTCGATTATTTAAGAAGCTTGTGGTTTACTATTTAAACCTAGTTCACTAGCAACATCGTTATTTAGGTTTTTGTACTTGCATCATCCAACAAGGCATTAACTATAATTTTCTTTCCACAATTCTTCAAGAAGACTGGAACAGTTCTAAGTGCTACATAAACACCACAACCATTATTTTTAAGTTTCGATTCAGTTGACATTTTAATGTTTGTAGTTGCTCCTCCTCTGTGACATTTTTTAACTGGGACTTTTTATTTTTTTCGATCCTGTTGTCTAGATTAATTGGATTTGACTTATGTAGACATTTGTTGTGTGTTTCGTTACATCCATTAACACCACATATTCTTGTTTTAGTACACAGACTTCCAGTATGGTTGTTTCTCAAGCATCGATAACATAATTTATTACTTTTTGCCAATTTCCATCTATCTATAGTATCAAGTTGTTTAAATTGGTCACAGTTCCACAAGGCATGATTTTGCTTACAAACAAGACATTTCAATCACGATTTTCTTGTTTCAATTGTTTCGGTTTCACCAAAATACGATTGATCATGTTTTAGTTTATAACGATTAGTACTTTTACAACCTATGAGTTGTTTCAGCTGCAGCAATTCGAAACTCTGATTCTTTTATAATAAACTGTCGTAAGGTTTCAATATTTTCTTCTTTTGCATTTTCAAAAACCCAACATTGATAATGAGTAAGCATTTTCTCTGTTCATTTTCTTTGAAGTTTTCTATAAAATGTTCCATTGCCGAGCTCTTCTTCCCTTTCTGCTTCTTTGAGGTTAGTAACTGC